CATCCATTTCAAACACCTTTTGGTTAGGTAGTTGTTGAATTGGCAACCTTTAATGTATGGAAGACACGTGGCAGAGCTTTGGAAGGTTTCAAATCACACCAAAACGTGTGTTTCACATTAAGGGCAATCTCGGGATTGGGGAAGGCGCCATGCGCCTAGCTCGAAATTTTTCTGCACAAAAGTGTAATTTTCGTTAGAAATAAACTCTAAATGATGTAAAAACGTCCTATGTGCATGTATAACCTAAGATAACTTAAAATGAAATGTTTTGGATACTATAATAAGGTTAAAATACGGTTTCCGAGTTTAAAACATTAGAAAACAGCACACATTTAGCTTCTTTTTACCCTCATGAACAAGGGAAATCAATGGACCTACAGATCGGAAGCTCTAACGATACGAGATTAATTGATTACTCATTAATCATATTAATCAACATTCGTTAATTGTCGGTCGCTCCACCAAAGACTCACAGTTGCACTCTTCTCACTGTAGAATATTATGCGTCCATGGATTTTGATCAATAACGGTAAGTCAATCCTTCACAAGTGTTCGTAACCACAGTTGGGTCAAATTTTCGTTTTACCCCTGATCCTCTAATGAACAACCCGGTTATGGTTTAACCAATAATTGGAAGTCCCTCTAGGGCCAATTGTTCAAGTCCCGGAGTCAGCACTTAAGAGAATACTCATCTACTTACCCTAAAGTCGAGAAGGAGTGAATTCTATGTTGTGTAGTTATGTTCCTAGCTCCCCACTTGGTCTCGTCCCCAAAATGGTAGGATTATTGAGTTGGCGACTCGGGCCACTCTCACCCATACAAATCAAATTACGAGCCCTAACAGGCAGGAATCCATAACTCACTAAGGATTGAGATCAAGTTACTTGATCATCCTATTAAAATATTAATCTATTAGCTAACAGGGTTACAACAAAAGATTAATTATTTCACGGTCCAGTCTTATACAAATTAATTGTATAGGATACCCTCACTTGCATGTCTCCATACGAACGACCTGGATCAAGTAATTTATAACTATTACAAAGTTGGTCGTATCCATAGTGTTACCAAGATAAGGTACCCAACCTTATCCATATAATATAGACCCTTTAGGTTCTACTGGAACATTATCCACCTGCATATCGAATATATACATTGTATATCAAATATATATGCTGTATATTTAATATATACTGTATATCTGTTATATATTGTTCTAGTTACATGACATAACCTCGAATGTTAGTTTATTAGATTTGGGTTAATGCAATTCTAAGAGAAATATCAATAACAACTTTATTGAATGAATATTTGTTTTATGTTTACAAACTACGAGTTTAGGGCAAAAAACCCAATAAACTCCCAGTTGAACTAAACTCTAGTGGGGTATATAAAAGCTAAAAGCAACAGTGGGTTGTACAATAAAGTACAAATACAATAAACTATGGCATACACTATACCCTTTACAAGTCTCCCACTTGCTGAAGACTCTATTGTACATATCTCATAGGCCTAGACTATCTAGATGGCTATCGAATACTTTAGCCGTAAGAGCCTTTGTAAATGGATCTGAAACGTTATGCTCCGAAGTGATCTTCATAAAGATCGCGTCTCCTCGTTGCATTATTTCTCGTATCAAGTGATACTTCCTCTCAATGTGTTTGCCTCTTTTGTGACTTTGAGGTTCTTTAGAATGTGCCACAGCACCATTGTTATCACAATAAAGTGTGATGGGACAAAGTCATGTTTGGAACAATTTCCAAGTTAGTTAAGAACTTTCTAAGGTACACCGCCTCTTTTGTTGCTTCACAAGCGGCAACATATTCGGTCTCCATTGTGGAGTCTGCGATGCATCATTGTTTGATGCTCCGCCATACTGCAGCTCCTCCATTAACAGTGAACACTGATCCCGAATTGGATTTCCTTGAATCTTTATCACTTTGGAAGTCAGAGTTAGTGTATCATGTAAGGATCAAATCCTTAGTGCCATACACAAGCATATAGTTCATCGTTCTCTTAAGATACTTAAGGATAACCTTAACGGCAGTCCAGTGATCATATCCTGGATTGGA